ACATCCGGAGCCTGTGCTCCGCAACAGGAGAGGCCACAACAGTGAGAGGCCTGCGCACCACAAAAAAAAAAAAAAAAAAAAAAAAAAGTTGCCTTGAATTTCTCTGGTGTATATGACTATGAGAGGTGTATGCTTATTTCCCTCCCACGTTGCTGTGGGCCAGTCTGCACACAACAGCAGAGCTGTTCTTGTTTCCTCATATCCTCACCAATACTTGCTGTTTTTCAAGTCTTTCCATTTTTTTGCCAATTTGATGGGGTAAGTAGTATGTTATTCTTGATTTAATTTTCATTTCTCTGATTACTCTTCATATGCTTTATTAATCATTTGCGTTTCCCCTTCTGTGAACTTCCTGTTTATATCCCTTGCCCATTTTTCTAATTAAGTTTTCAGTTTTTCTTGTTTATTTAAACAAGTTTTTATATTTTATTTATTTGGAGTTTTATGTATTTTCTAAATATAAATCCACTTTTGGTTTTTGATGTTGAAATTTATTCTCCAAGAGTGATTCATGTGTTATTTTATCTATGTGTTACTTTGTTTAACGGAAACTCTTGATTTTAATATTGTCACATCTGAGTAGGTTTTCATATTATGGCATGTGCTTTTAGGATCTTGTTTAGGAAAGCCTCCCCTATCTCGAGATCAAAAAGGTATTCGCCCATATTTTTTTCTATTAACTTTATAGTTTCTCTTCTCAATTAATCTTTTTTATGTTTGTTTTTATTTTTATCTATCATTTTTTGAATATTTACTATGTGCCAGGCACTTTTTTTTTTTTCGGTGCGTGGGCCTCTCACTGTTGTGGCCTCTTCCGTTGCGGAGCACAGGCTCCAGACGCACTGGCTTAACGGCCATGGCTCACAGGCCCAGCCGCTCCGTGGCATGTGCGATCTTCCCAGACCAGGGCACGAACCCATGTCCCCTGCATCGGCAGGCGGACTCTCAACCACTGCGCCACCAGGGAAGCCCCTATTCATTTAATTTTTATAGCAACAAAGTAATAGGTGGTATTTCCATTTCGCTGATAAAGAACGTGAGAAAGGCACGTAGTACATTTGTTTGTGCTGGGATGTCTTCCTGACTCCAGAGCCAATGTGCCAAGGAATCAGAGGAGGGGGGCTTGATTTACTGTCTGGGATAGTCAAGAAAGGCTTCCAAGAGAAGTGAACTTTAAGCTGGGTTATCTGTGCATTCCACAAATAGTCACTGACAGCCTACTGCCTGAGTGCCAGGTGCTCTACTAGGCACTGGGGGGGTTGTGATAATGAGCAAAGAGAGACATCCTCTCTGCCCTCAGAGCTCACGAGAGTTTGCCAGAGAGAAAAAGGGAAGAATATTTGTAGAATCAATGCCCATTTCATTCCCCAAAACATTTGAGATGAAAGTGTGGAGTAGTTAATTATTGAGTAAGTGGTTGGAACTGGCAGATGAGGCCAAATATTTAATTTTTGTCTAGGTTGTGGAGGACCTTGTGAGTCAGGAGTTTATATTTTAATAAGGAGTCACTGTACATTTTTAAGAAGGGGAGTAACACAATCCAATTTACATTTTAGAAAGCCAACTCTGATGGTAGTATAGAGGATACATTGGAGAGAAGGATTCCAGACTTGAAGAAAATTAGGAAGCGGTTCTAAATTTCTTAGATGGTGAAAGATGAGAAGGGTTGAATAAGACAGGCTATTGGGAATGGATCAAAAGATTAGGACCCAAAAGGTATCTAGGAAGTGGCTGCAGTTGGTCTTTCTAACTGATCCACGTATACATGACACAAAGCTTCAAGCTTGAGAAACTGGGTAAATAACATGTTATTAAAAGTAGTAGTATAAATAGATTGTGTCTATAATGGCTGTAATTCTCTTTTTAAATTGCAGACAGTTATGAAATTTTTGGTTTACTATGCTGGTGATCTGGCCAATGTTTTCTTTATCATCACTGTGGGAACAGGTCTTTACTGGCTTATTTTCTTCAAAGTAAGTGATTTTCTGAATTTAACCTAAGTGCCAATACCTGAATAACTTGTAAGCTTTCTTTATAAAGGAACTGTCTTTAGTGGAGGATATTTCTGATCAAGAGTATTGGGGCCAGTGCTAAACTCACCATTCCCTGAGTGTGCTGTGTTTATTGAGTGCATCTCCACCTTCCTCTTTTATGCTTTCTTTGGGTTATAACTTGTGTTTAGTAAAAACTTTGTATGGTCATATTTAGCAGCGTAATTTTTATCATAGGCACAGAAGTCTGTCTCTGTTTTGCTACCAATGCCGGCTCAGGAAGAACGTTTTGTTACTTATGTGGGATGTGCCTTTGCTCTGAAGGTAAGTCTCAAAGCACGGGTTACTGAATTTAAAAGACCTGCTAATAAGCATATAAGTCTTTAAAATTAAACTGCTTTCAAAATCTTTGGTGTAAAATTTAGTTTAATTTTGGAAGAAAGCATGAATTAATTCTGTTTTACTAGAAAGTCTACTTTTATTTATAATAGATATCTTATTCTGAATATCTGCCTTAAATATTTTTTTATTTTTTAATTTAACCTGTTAATTGAGAGTAAAAGGTACCATGCTGGATAAAGTGCTGAACTCTTAGCATTTGTTCTCTGCCTCCATATTCCTTTTCTTCTCTTTCCATGGCAACCCCCCTCCCTACTTCATTGTTCTGTTGATGGATGTGAAGCTCTTTACATGCTTCTGTGGTAGATCTCATCCAATTGTGTTGTGATTTTTAAGTGTCTGATGTTCCCACTGATCTGTGAGCTCCACGAAGAGAGGAATCATCCCATACTTAGATTTTTATCCCTTGTTTGATCAATAATGTACCTACTAGGAAGAAGCCTTAGTTTAAACATATTCTGTAAATGAAAATACCAGAAATAGGGGGAAAAAACCAACAGTGAGAGCATGCTAAAACTTTAATTAGGACAAGCAAATTATAGTTGGAAATAACTTTACTTACAAAGAAGTTAGATGATCCAGAAAACAAAGTATGCTTTTGGAAACCTTGGGAAAGAGAGACAATTAATGCAAGATCCCTGTATGAGGAGGAGGTAGTGTGTCTCCTTTCACATCCCTATTTCAAAGAAAGACAGAAAAAGGGAAGTCGAATTAATATGTATATAAAAATTCTGTGAATTTGGCGATTCCGTTATTTCGTGAGCTTCTGTTGATCCCCTAATGGTATTACGACTTTGTAACTTGTGAAAGTTATATATTCTTGTGATTACAGTATGTTTGTTTCTTTTTTTTTTTGAAGTATAGTTGGTTTACAACGTTGTGCCAATCTCTGCTGTGCAGCAAAGTGACTCAGTTATACACATGGAGACACTCTTTTTTAATATTTCCATTATGGTTTATCACAGGATATTGAGTATAGTTCCCTGTGCTATACATTAGGATCTTCTTTATCCACTCCGTATATAATAGTTTGCATCTACTAACCCCAAACTGCCAGTCCATCCCTCTCTGCCCCCCTCCCCTTGGCAACCACAAGTCTGTTCTCTATGTCTGTGAGTCTGTTTCTGTTTTCATAGATAAGTTCATTTGTGTCATATTTTAGATTCCACATGTAAGTGACATTGTATGGTATTTGTCTTTCTCTTTCTGACTTACTTCACTTAGTATGATAATCTCTAGTTGCATCCATGTTGCCACAAATGGCATTATTTCATTCTTTTTTATGGCTGGGTAGTATTCCATTGTATATATGTACCACATCTTCTTTATCCATTCATATGTCGATGGACATTCTTAAAGAATCACTGTTGGTTTCATAAGCAGGCTTAATGCAGAAACTTTAAGGTGCTTTGTTTGTCATTCTCAGGCTCTGCAATTTTTGCATAAGCTCATCTCCCAGATTACCATAGACATATTCTTTATTGATTGGGAGCGACCTAAAGGAAAGGTTCTTAAAGCTGTTGAAGGTAATGAAAGTAACCATTTGTACCAAGATTCTTTTGCCACCATTGTAGAGCAAAGAAGGTGAAACACTTTTACTCATTTTATCTCCCCAACCAGGTGAGGGTGGTGTTCGGAGTGCTACCGTTCCCGTAAGCATATGGAGAACATATTTTGTGGCAAATGAATGGAATGAAATTCAGACTGTGAGAAAAATTAACCCACTCTTTCAAGTACTTACTGTCCTCTTCCTTTTGGAGGTATAAACTGTTTGATGTAATTGTATACAACTTATGGGTACCTCATAAATGTTAATATAATTCCAGCTAAGTTTTCATGTCAGTGGAAGAGTTTTCTAAAGGTTAAAATATTGTAATCAAGCCATTAAAAAATACACATAACATGAAATTTACCATCTTAATCATTTTAAGTATACAGTCCAGTACTGTTAAGTACATTTCCATTGTTGTGCAGTAATCTCTAGAATTCTGTTCATCTTGCAAAACTAAAACTCTGTACCCATTAAACAACAGCTCCGTCTTCTCCCCTCTCCCCAGCACCTGGAAACCACCATTCTACTTTCTGTCTCTTTGAATTTGTCTACTATAGGTAAGGAGTGATTTTTAAACCACTGCTTTGTAGCAGAACCCCATAGGAAGCTTTTGCAGAATACCTATGCCTTACCTCACCCCTCGAGATTATGTTCAATTCCGTAGCTCTGAGGTGAGCTCAGGTATCTGTATTTTAAGAACACCCCCGCCATTATTCATATTCTCACTCCTGTGTTAGAACCACTATTAGAAGGTTGAAATTTTCTAACAAATTATCATTGAACACCTACTATGGACTGTGTTCTGTCTTAAGAGCTGGGGCTGTAGCTTAACAAGACACACTGAATTGGTACATGCTTATGATCCCTTTACAGTTATTTCATGGGTCTGAGTAGAATTATTAAAGAAGTATTCAGTACTGAATATGAGACTGAAATATGGAAACTGTATGAGTAACAGGTTTTCTCTAGAATTAGCTGCTTAAGTAAGGTTACATATGAATTATTAACTTATATGTCTGTCTGCCTTCCTTCCTTTTTCCTTCTTTCCCACTTTTCTCCTTCCTTTCCTTTTTAAACCTAGAGGAATGTGTGTGTCCCTAGGATGTATGAACACTGTCTCAAAAATTCATTTATAGTAGTGTTTTTTAAAGCTTTAAAATGTGTTATGTGAGGAAAAAGTATTATAATGAAGTAAGTTTCGAAAACACTGGATTCAATAAAGTCATGTAGATTCCTTTACCATAAAACTTTCCAGAGCTTTTATTCTATGAGGGTGGAAGGCATGGAGGTGAGTATAATATACCATCTAAACTTATTTGATCATGGTTTCCTTTTATCAAAATGGTATCTTCCTCAAAAGACATTTTGGAAAATACTGTTTTAAAGTATAAAAGGTATTTTACATAGTTCCTGGCATATGTTAAAACTCATGAAATACTGGTTGTTCATCGGTAGTTTACTGAAGAAAGCTTTATTCTCTTGACAGAAATTTTTGAGCTTTGTCTGTGTACATGATAATAAGGTTATATTTGGCCTTTAGTCATATTGAAGAGAATACCAAATGAACTAGCTAACTACTTTTATTAAATACTTTGTAATTAAAATACTGGATAATTATTTTTATCTAGATTTTCTACCATTTATACAAACTTGAATACTTTAGTTTTTCAAGGTAAGGGGTAGAGAGGAGGGTCTCATTTTCAGACTAGAGGAGTTTTCTTTATGTCTGTTTAAATTATTTTTTCTTATTATTTCAGGTTGTGGGATTCAAGAACTTAGCATTAATGGACTCATCTTCTAGTCTTTCCAGAAGCCCACCTAGCTACATAGCTCCTTATAGCCGCATTTTGAGATATGCGGTGTCTGCCGCTCTTTGGCTAGTCATTGGAATTATACAGGTAACAAGAGATTGTTCTTTTAAGCAACATTGCCTCTCTATATTTTTAACTCTGTTTACATGCTAATTCTCAAATATTGACCGCAACATGCTTTCTATAGTATAAAGAAGGTGACAAGAACAACAATAATAATAACTAATAGCTAATTTTTACATAGTATGATAATCTAGGCACTGTTAATTAACTGCATTACACAAAGTAACTTACTTAATCTTTATAGTAGCCCTCAGAGATAGATTCTTTTAGTATCCTCATGTTATAGCTGAGGATGCTGAGGCACAGAAAGGTTAAATATTTACCTAAAGTCATGCAATTAGAAATTGGTAGAACTGGAATTTGAACCCAGGCAATCTGATTTCAGAGTCCATTTCTTCTCAGTAGTGGGGCTCTGAAGGGTCTTTCAGAGTCTGCAGCTTTCTAGTTACAGGATTTAGTTTATATATAATGATAGGAATTGCTGAGGTACCCTTAATCTTTTCTTTTCTTTTGAAATACAACTTATAGTTTACATTTATTTGTATATCATTAAACCTCTCAAAAACCATACCCCTTCTGAAACCTTCTTTGAAATATTTATTGAAATAGCTGAAACTAAAAATAAATCTTCTCAGGTTCCAGGGCTCTAGCAGAGGATCTTTTCTGTGCTTACTTCCCTTATCTTCTTAAAGCTTTAAAAAAAAGAATGAAGGAAGAAAAGAAAGAAGCAGCAGCTACAGCGCTTAACTCTGATCTCTGCATTTCTTTCTCTTGCTTACAGACACTCCCATGAGTGGAAAAAGCCTTTCTGTTTAATATCTCTCTAACTTTTAAGTAAGCAAATGAAGGTGGGACCTCTAGAAAGAATAGGTTGAACTTCCTGTAAACTGGAGAGCAAATATTTGCCTTAAAAGCTTATTTTAAAAGATCTTTGGGATTGAAATTCCAAAATTCCTACAGAATTGGACCCAGGTGTCGTTCAGTAACTTAAGAATAGACTCTTTAAATTTGCATTTATTTTTAGTTGGTGAGACTTGTTCAAACTTGAAGCTATAGGATAGAGCTAGTGAGGGATAGTTTGACAATTGGAAAAGAGAGAGAAACAGAAATTAGGATTTGAAATAAAATTTGATTAAAAGAATATGGGGTTTGATTTTTTTCCCTTTTGGTTTTATTGAGATTTAACTGACATACAACACTATATAAGTTTAAGGTGTACAGCATAATGATTTAACTTACACACATCATGAAATGATCACCACAATAAGTTTAGTGAACATCCATCATCTCATACAGATACAAAATTAAAGAAATAAAAAGAAAAATATTTTTCCCTTGTGATGAGAACTCTTAGGATTTATTCTCTTAACTTTTATGTATAACCTAAAACAGTGTTAATTTATCATGTTGCACATTGCATCCTTAGTACTTATTTATCTTATAACTGGAAGTTTGTGCCTTTTGACTGTCCTTATCCAGTTTCCCCCACTTCCCCCTCCAGCCCCCACCTCTGGTAACAAAAAACCTCATCTCTTCTAAGAATTTGTTCATTTGTCTGTTTGTTTTTGATGTATAATTAACCTACAACACTATGTTAGTTCCTGGAACACAGCATAGTGATTTGATATTTCTATACATTTCAAAATGATCACCATGATAAGTCTAGTTACTGTCTGTCAACCGTATTATGGGGTTTGATGTTTATCATCAGTATAATAGTAAGAAAATATTTATTTTTACATATACCAATATAAATTTTTGTGAATAGATCAGATTTATCTGGGTGTAGAGAATTTAAAGGAATGCCATCTGAAGCTTTTCGTATTGGTTGAGTACAACAATACAGAAACCCCAAATAGCAGTGGCTGAAATAAAAGTGACTTTTCTGTCTCCCGTGAGAAAGAAGAGCAGAGGTCGGCAATGCAGGGCCAGCAGGGTGGCTGCTGTCAGGCCCAGATGCCTGGTGTTCTGCTCTGCCCCTCAGGACTTCACCTCTAAGGTCACCTCGCAGTCCGTAATGGCTGATGGAGTTGCAGGGGTGAGCCAGGGGAGAAGACCTCACCCTTTCCTCTTTATTTGTTCACTATGAGTTTTAACTGAAAACATTAAAACAGCTTAACTACTCATAATGAATTATGAAACTGTAGTAGTTAAATTGTATTATCATTTATGAGGCATTTATTCTTCCTTATTTTGTAGACCTGCAAGAAAGTTTGCATACTTGTGTTGTTTTCTGTTCTGCATTTCAGAGGAAGATTATTAAGAGAAAGTCTAAAAGTTTTATAAATCAAAACCCAACTGAGAAGTAAAATATAAAGAGAACAAAATTTATATATAGCTGAGCATAGGTGGTTTTTAACTCACATTTTACGTATGAAAACAATTTAGCTCATTTCACATGAAACACAAGCAGGTAAAGTAGTAAAGCTGAATCATGAAAACCCCTATCAGTTATTTTTAGCGTGCCTCTTAATTTTTCTTTCCCCTGGTTTCTTGTCTTGTGTGCGGGAGTCTCAAACAGAGCAAGTCTCAAACCACTTGAGGGGTTGTCAGTGATAAATGGGCCATGAAGGAAAATGTCAGCAAACATGAAAAATCAAATCCTGCCATAACTATGTAGTCCACCCAGACTGTTCAGCCACATACTCATCGATAAATCCAAGTATTGCAGAAAAGAATAATTCCCTGAAACCCCTGTTCAGCTAGCTTCTGGCCCTTGTAATCCCTTTGTGTGGGCAGCGAGCTCAGATGCTCCAGCATGACTGGATGAGGAGGTGGGCAGTGGGGCAAAGGCAGCCCCAACTCAAGGACCATAGGGGCCGGGGTCTGGTCCTGTGTGCAGATTGGTGGGCCTGCCGATCAGGGGAGTGCAATGGACGCTCACCCTCTCCTCTTTGAGAGCCCTTTCAGAAGTGTCTTTGACATCTCCTTGGTCAGAACTTGGTCACATGGCCACACTTCACTGCACTGTCAGCTGGGCAGACCCCCTCAAAGAAGGGGTCTGTCACTGAGGGGAAGGGAAAGGACTGTTCGGGCAGCAGCTAGCTGTCTTGGGCACTACTGTCTAACCTCGTTCTTTGTTTCTCACTTTGCTGTCATTTGATAGGAAAGTATTTCTCTCCATGGTCACATTCTCAAACTATCAGTGTTTATTCCTAAAATATCCATAAAAGTTCCTTTAGCCTATTACAGTTCCATAAATTTGTCTATACAAAATCTTCTTGATTCTCATAATATTAGGCTTTATTGTTCACTCCTTATATTTCCCCAAACACAGCTTCTTCAATTTTTAAGTGGCATCTTTTAGTTTTTAAACTTTGAATGTTACTGTTTTTCATGTCATTTAAAGGAATTTTAAAATGTGTACATAGAGTATTTAGGAAAGTCTTTTCAGTGTTCACCTGCTATATTCATTTACATATCTGAGTACATGTTATGTGCAAGGCACTGTGCTGAGCTCAGAGATATGCTGTAACAAGAACAAGTCACAGTTGTGACAAGTGCTGTGAAGGGCATCAACAGGGAGATGAGATAGTGAGTAGAGGGGGAGGTAAGGGGAGTGGAAGTTAGGAATGCGACAGCAGGCAACAGCTTTGAATTGGGTGGTTAGGAAATGTTATCCTTCTCTGAAGTGTATCTAAGAAGGCCTACAATGTAAACTTTTCTCTTGTGATTTATAAAACTTCCCTTTGTAGTATTGTTATTAAATCTATCTAAGGAAACACTTGAAACCATTCCATTTGAATGTTTAACACATTTTCTGTAGTCAAAACAGAATACTTGACATATGCTTTTTATGTGCTACTCTATCAGAGAAGATTAATTTGAAAAACAGCAATTTTTCTAGTGGCTTTTTGAATTTAGGAGATGAGCAGAATTGCAGAACCAGACCTAAATCTGGCCATTAATGCATTGGTTTATCCTAAAGCTTTTAAAGCCCCTTACTTCCTCCCCCTGTGTTTGTCCTATCTTATTTTAATGACACAGAAAAGTTTTTTAAATTCAAAATAAGCTCCCTCAGTGAATCTTAACACAATTGCAAAGCACTCTTCCTTTGACAGAAGAATCAGAAATGATAAGTAGGGTTTTATCCCACAGGAATTGTTATTGGCCACTATGTTCTTGGTTGGAACTTCTTTTTTATTATGACACTATACTGTGGCTATAAAAGAAAATTAAATCCTAAAATCTAATAAACATAAACTTGGCTTAATGTTTCAGATTGTGTTCTTTGCTGTCTTTTATGAGAGATTTGTAGAAGATAAAATTCGACAGTTTGTTGATTTGTGCTGTATGAGCAATGTAAGTACTTTCTGACTTTATCTTGCAACTGTTATTTCTCCCTTTTTAAAGGTCATGAGTACACTAAGAGAGGCTTTAAAAGTGATTTGCTATGATTGTATTTTTAGTCTGATTTCCACTGGTGGTTAATTCCAGAGATGGTTATAACAAGCTACAAGTTAATATTTACTGTCTTAATTTTTCCTTCTTTATTTGCAGTTTCTTAATTATGAATTGCTTATGCCACCAAACAGTTGACTCAGCCTGAAGTCCCTGAAAAGTTTTCATATATCAACCCTGCTTCTTCCTTTCTTGGGAGTGTCTCCAGTCTCCTTTGCATCTACTTTTTAAAATAACCTCATTATCCTTTATTATCTTATTATTCTCTTTATATGTTTTCCAAGAATTCAACCCTCATTATTTTGAGAGAAAGGAAGCAATTTTAAGAACTTAATTTTTATTGTTTTGCAGATGAGTTGCTAACTGCTTCTTCTTCTCTTTTGATAGATATCAGTGTTTCTGTTATCCCACAGATGTTTTGGTTATTACATTCATGGTAGATCAGTACATGGGCATGCTGACACTAATATGGAAGAAATGAATATGAATCTTAAAAGGGAAGCGGTATGAATGTATTTTATATCTTTTTGTTTTTTAAGTTGAGAGATGGTTTCTCTTAATCTGGGATTTGTAGTAATCTTTTTAAAAAATCCTCATTGATTACTTTTGAAAGTTGCTAGGATACCAACTCATTACCCTGAACACTGAAAGGGAATGAATCAAATTCCATCCTACAGTTCTTTTATGAACTGTATTTCAAAGTAACCAAATAATTCATGAGGGAAAGATCTTCCTGTTGGAAGAAAGTAAAAGGAATTCTAAGTTAGAAAATCACCATTTTGTAATGACTAATGGATTAATGCCTATAGGCTACAATCATCAATGGATGCTAAAAATTAAGTGAAGGATGACAGGGAACTTTATAATGAGGAATCAGGTTGATATAATCTGAACACACTGGCTCAACCTTACTACAAGTAAAAATTAGCAAAACTGACATTATGCACTTCCTGTTGTGATGCAGTAGGGAAGTACATAATATCACCCATGAAATATTCTTGCCTAAGAAAATTGAACCTGAATGTAATCAAGCCTCTAGATCTAACCACCAGTTTACAGGAAATAGAGGGGATAGAGACAAAATAATACCACAAGAAGCAATTAGCCAGATGCAAAATGTTAGGATGTCTCACAGGACAAACGACCCAGTGTCTCCAACAAATCAAAGGCATGAAGAGAAAAGGAGAAGTGGTGGTGGTGGTGGTGGAAGAAGACTGTTAGATATAAGAGAAATTTAAGAAAAAAAAAACAATCAAATACAATGTGTAGACTTTGATTGGATCCTGATTCAAACAAACCAACTATAAAAACATCTTTGGGAAAAATCTTGGAGATTTAATAGACTAAATATTAAATTATATTAAGGAAAGATTAATTTTATTAGGTGTGAAAATGGCATTTTTTTTCAACGTCTTATTGGTTAGAGATACATACAGAAGTATTTGCAGATGAATTAACATGGTATCTGGGGTTTGCTTTAAAAGAAAAAAGTTGGGAGGATAGATGAAAATTGGTAAAATGTTGGTAATTGTTGAAGTTGGGTGATGGATGGTTTACTGTTCTCTCTACTATGTATATTAGAAAACTTCCATAAGAAAATTTAAAAAGAAAAATATGTACTTAAGAGGAAAAACCAAGAGGATTTATTGATTAAGGGACTATACCTGTGACTTGCAAGAACTTAATAGATGATAACAACATCTCAGAGAAGAACAATTTGTTTAATACATTGAACTGAATCAGTTGGTTAACTATTAGAAATTATACCTGGACTGAAAGGTTAAATTTAAAAATGAAACTATGAAAACCTAGAAAAGAATATTTCAGATTGGGAGATGACAATCTAAGCATAAAATACAGAAAGCATCAAAAAAGTAACATTTGTTGATTTTACTTTATTAATGTAGAACATTTGTATAGACAGCAATTATATTAATAAAAGACATGGGGTAAAATTCTCATAGTAAATATGACGAACATATTGATAGCTATTGAAAGTCATATAAATCAGTAAGCAAATTAAGTTAAAACCTCAATGGAGGGACTTCCCTGGTGGTCCAGTGGTTAAGACTCCACACTTCCACTGCAGGGGACACAGGTTCAATCCCTGGTTGGGGAACTGAGATTCTGCATGCCGCAGAGCGTGGCCAAAAAACAAAAACAAAACAAAAAACTCCCATGGAAATATGACAAAAAGATTTTTTAAAATATGTAAATAAACAGAAGAGACTAATAAACGTCTAAAAAATATTCAACTCATAAATCATAAAAGAAATGAATGTAAAAATAACATTTTTACTTTCTTCAAATTACCAGACTTTTTTTAAAAAAGCTAATAGTTAGTAGAATTAAGGACAGGGTGAAATGGGCACTGGTCTCAGAATACATTTTTACAAACCTGCTGGAAAGCATTTGGCAAGAGCTTTTTAAGAATTCATTATCTTTGGGACTTCCCTGGTGGTCCAGTGGTACAGAATCCACCTTACAGTGCAGGGGACGTGGGTTCAGTCCCTGGTCGGGGAACTAGGATCCCACATGTCGTGGGACAGCTGGGCCCACACGCCACAACTACTGAGCTCGCGTGCCTCAACTAGAGCCCGCATGCCACAAACTACAGAGCCCATGTGCTCTGGAGCCCACACACCACAGCGAGAGAGAGGAAAAACCTGCATGCCACAACTAGAGAGAAGCCCGCACGCCACAACTGGAGAGAAGCCCATGCACCACAAGGAAGAGCCAGCGTGCCGCAACTAAGACCTGATGCAGCCAAAAATTAAAAAAAAATAAAGAGTTCATTATCTTTGACTTACTGATTCTGTTAATCTAACTCAAGGAAATAATTAGCAATGTGAAAAACTACTTAGGTTCAGGATCTTCATCACAGGGCTTAATTTATAAGGGCAAAAAATATGTAAAAATGGGAGAATATTAAGTAAATTGGTTTACCTATACAGTGAAACCCTAGGTAAACATTAAAAATCATGTTTTATAGAACATTTAATGACATGGGGAGTTGCTGAGGATATAATGTTAAGTGAAAAAGAAATCAGTACGATCCCAGTTTTATGCCATCTATATGTATATGCCTAGACAACAACTGGAAATGAAATACCTTAAAATACCTGTATCTCTTGGTGTTCAGATTATAGGTGATTTTTTTTCTTCTTTTGTATTTCTCCATATTTTATAAATTATCTGTAGCAGCATGTGCTTTTTTAATCAGGAAAAAAATTTTTTTTTTTTAAATAGAGAAATTCACTACACATAGACTGCCTTTAAGTCAGTAGAAAACCAAGTGTTATATTATGTTTCCAGCTTAGGTTTAGATAAAGGAGGAGAATGTTAAGCTCCAGGGTAGGCAAATAAAATCGAGAATGGAGGCAAGAATACTTATGCTGAATCCTAAAGCATCTATGAGAATTGGCTAGGTCGGGGGTAGGGCAAACTGTTACAGGCATATGGTTCTCAGGATTCAAGTCGTGTCAAAGAGACCTGAGTATAACTGATTCACTTCGTTATAAAGCAGAAACTAACACACCACTGTAAAGCACTTATACTCCGATAAAGATGTAAAAATAATAATAATAATAAAATTTAAAAAAAGACGAAATAGATATATGGTCTATAACATTAACCATTGGGTCATGTATCACTACCTTTTTTATCGGAATTAATTAAGGAAGCATATTAAAGTGTTTAGAAATCAAAAAAGACCATTTATAAAAGTAGTTAATTCTAAGACTAGACTTTTTGTCATTTATTAAAGAGCAATAAATTAATTATGAAAAAGCTAAGAATGGGCTTCCCTGGTGGCACAGTGGTTGAGAGTCTGCCTGCTAATGCAGGGGACACGGGTTCGAGCCCTGGTCTGGGAGGATCCCACATGCCGCGGAGCGGCTGGGCCCGTGAGCCACAACTACTGAGCCTGCGCGTCTGGAGCCTGTGCTCTGCAACGAGAGAGGCCGCGATAGTGAGGGGCCCGCGCACCGCGATGAAGAGTGGCCCCCCCTTGCCACAGCTGAAGGAAGCCCTCGCACAGAAATGAGGACCCAACACAGCCATAAATAAATAGCCAAGCATTTGAAGCCATTTAAAAAAAAAAAACTAAAAATATCAATATACAGTGAACTTAGTATGAGGTTTTTTTTAAGTAGGCAGAGTAAAGGAGATGATATAGCACCTGCAAGGAAGTATGATGAAATAGAAATTAGTAAAACCTAGAGGGGAGTGGGAACCTTGAATACTGTTGGACTCTCATTGTCTCAAATGTAATAGTTCAGTACAATTTCAGTTGGCTTCCAAATCTTGTAATGTTAAATATTGTATTTTCTTTTTAAGATAGGCAAAATTTACATAATCTTTATCTGAATTTAAATTTTTTAACTTTTCAGGAAAATTTGTGTAGCCAAAGAGGTTTGATACCCAATACAGATGGTCAAACTTTTCAAATTGCTATTTCTAGCCAGATGAGACAACAGTATGACAGAATTCATGAGACACTAACAAGGGTTTGTATAAAGTACAATTCACATATATTTTGTCAGTATTTCATGTTATTTAGATACCAAGGATGTAAGGCATGTTGCATTTATCCTTGTCTCTTTTTCACGTTAGAAAAATGGCCCTGCTAGACTGTTGAGTTCATCAGGAAGTACTTTTGAGCAGAGTATAAAAGCATATCATACTATGAATAAATTTCTTGGCTCTTTCATCGATCATGTATGTATCATCATTTATTTTTAAGCTAGAATCAAAATGCAATTTTAAAAAAGTTAACGAGGAGTGTCAGTTATTTCTTCAGTCAACCAAGTCAGTGGACTTATGCCTTGTGGGGTTTTTTGTTTGTTTGTTTGTTTTTGCTGTAAAAACTAATACTGTGGCTTAGGGATGGAGTTAAGTTATGTAAAAGGAAAAAATTTTTACCTGCCTATTAGCATGATGATTACCTTAAAATATGACTGTACTGGAATTTTGTTACTTAACAAATATTATCAATTATTTATTGTAGAAATATGCTATGATTGTATTCCTAAAAAGCTTGTTATAAATTGATTTTCAGTATATCTAGTCCTAAGTACTACTAATAGCATTTAAAATTTAAAACATTCCTAAAGAGTATTTTGTTATAAAGTCCAGCGTAGTAAATTGTCTTTGAAGAACAGATTTTCTCTGTCGTATTCATATTTCTTTTTCTCTCCTTCTGATTTTACAAAAATTGGGAAGCATTCATTTCACTGCAATTTTTGAAATGACTCTCGTTTTTTATATTAGGTTCATAAGGAAATGGACTACTTTATAAAAGATAAATTGCTTCTTGAAAGAATTCTTGGAATGGAATTCATGGAACCAATGGAAAAAAGCATCTTTTACAATGGTATCCTTCAAATGCCTTTGCTGAACTTGATTATTATTTTCCAAGTTTGAAAAAACATGCTTGTAGTTCCTGTCTTTTGATTTTATACTTTTATATAGGAAACATAATGAACTTAGTTAACTTCAAGGAATTATAGTAGTTTTCTGTGTCCCATTTTATTATGTCATGTATCAATAGCAAGAAACAAATATATAAAAGATAATTATTCTACAAAAAAGTAAAAAAAAGCTGAATTTCAAAATCAAACAAGACTTTCCTGGTGGTCCAATGGTTAAGGCTCCACACTCCCAATGCACGGGGCATGGGTTCGATCCCTGGTTCAAGGAACTAAGATCCCACATGCTACACAGCACGGCCAAAACAAAACAAAACAAAATCAGTGGTAGACATGGAAGAGATAGTAAAACAAATACATAAAGTTCAGATTTTATTGGACTGTTCATTCAGTGACACACTTATGAAACACTTAAGAATAATGTTCATGATTTATCTTTAACATTTAATTTTTCATTTTATCCAACTTCTTAAAAATTGCACATATCTGTGTGACAGGAATAGTGACTAAACATGTTTTTTTATCATTAAAAAGGAAGTATATATGTCACTGTCAATGTGACTGATAACCTCTTGTGTGGCTTGGGAAGAATGGAAATGGTATAACCAGTGTCCTGGCCTAGATATCACTTACCCTTGTGTTATTGAATGTCACATATTGTGTCAGTCCTGGGATACACAGACTAATGGTCCCTCCCTTGGGCATCTTGTTTAGTAGACTGTGGAAAGTAGGCATGTGATGGGTGAGTGGAGTGATGCTGGGATAGAAGTCTGTGCAGATACAGGTTGCACTGGGTGCAGAAAGGAAAGTAGAAAATCTAACTAGATACAGGGTGAAGCCAGAGAGGCAACATGGTGAAGTTTGAACTAGGTCTTAAAAAATAAGGTGGTGGTGTCAAACAGGAGGGTCCAGGTAAGAGAGGTGAAGACATTTGTACAGAAGGGGGAAAGGGCATTATACACTTAGGAACTTTATGATTAAAGCCTCGAATGAAGTGGGTCAGTGAGAGAGAGTGCATGAACAATAAAGAGGGCAGAGACTGAATCCCAAAGGCCTTGTCTGACACCCTAAGGAGTTTTGCTTTATCCTATAGAGCACTTGTTTCCAAAAACATTTTTTAAAAAAATTTTGTCCTACAAGGTGTGTGCAGGTTGATCCATGGAGGTGTGAGCAGAAAATATTAAAAAGTCTATTTGTATATTTGCAATTCCATCATTCTTAATTTATATTTTGGAAAAATTATATGTGGTAGTAATTAATAAACTGTGCCCATTATGGGATGCATGCTCAGCATTTTATTCTGATAAGGATACATGATCAGAACAATTTGGAAACCACTGCTAATGAACATGGATATCATCAGAAAGCCTTCAGCATATCTGATTTATAAATTGGAAGAATTATTCTGGCAGTAGTGAATAGGTTGAGTTAAACAGATATAAGACTATAACAATATAACTTAGTCATTAAGAACATAGCTTTCATATTAAAGAATATAGCTTAGTCAGTATAACTTAGTCATTAAGAATATAGCTTTCACAATAAAGTTTTCTGGTCTTGGGTTCAAAATCTGACTACTAGTTTTGTGCACTTGAGAAAGTTGTTTACCCTTTCTGAACTTTAATGCCCTCTCTATAAAATTAAGTATAACCTTCTAAAGGTTGTTGCGTTTACACATGTGTAATCATTGTGTAAAGAACCTGGTATGGGTAGGCACTCAGAAAAATGATGTTACCGTTTCTAATAATAATAATAATACAGTCATCACCAACAACTTCTTCATCTCTATTGGGAAATTAGGAGAATATGAGCTAAGGCAGTAGTGACGAGGATAAAGAAGAAGAAAAGATTGCCAGAGATGTTAAGGAAAAGAACGTAGGAGAGAGAGAGTAGTCAAAAATCATCCAGATTTCCTGTGTGACTAGGTGGTTGGTGGTGGTGCCACCCTTCTCTGAGACAGGGAGTAGAGATGGAGGACCAGGTTTTGAAGGAAAGAGGATGAATTTGGTTTTGAATATGTTGTGTCTTGAGGTACCTTTGGGACATCTAGGAAGAGATGTCCATTAAGCCATTAAATGTAAGGAACTGGGGGACTGGATCTTAGGAGAAAGTAAAGGCACACAGTAAGCTGGGAAGTCTCATCAAATGAGATCATTGCTGGAGCAATAGCAGTGAAAGGTCACCCTCGAAGAGTGTATGTTGCTGGCTTGTTTATTTTTTTAAAATATGTATACAACTATAGTACAGAAGTGCATATCTTGTAAGGATATAGCTTAATGGCCAGTGAATTTTCACAAACTGAATATATTCCTATAACTAACTCCCTGATCAAAAAAGAATGTTAACAGCAAGCCAGATGTCCTCTTGTATAAAACAAGAGGTCCTAACTGGGTATCCATGGGCAGCTGAATCACTGAAGTGATTCTCTGTACCTCCCTGAAATTGTGTGCAAGATTCGTATATGTGTACTTCCCCCACTTCCTCTCGTGAAAGGGTCTGTAAGATTCATTAGAATCTTAAAAGGGTGTTCACATCCCAAAAAGGATGAACCCCTACTTGGGGAGTGAGAAGAGAAGAGGTCTCAGAGAAGAACCTTAGGGGACTACTTGAGACATAAATTATAGCACACTATTCTAGTCCTTGCTGGTTTTGTTTTGCTTTTTATTTATTTATTTTAATTGAAGTATAGTTGATATGCAATGCTGTGTTAATTCTCTGCTGTACAGAAAAGTGTGTTTTGCTTTTTAAACTTAATCTATCTCAGAATCTTTCTAAGATTCTTTAGCCTTTAGTTATATAAACAAATAGAGAAGGAATATTCATTACCTGATCATTGAAAGATATTGACTGTATACTTAAACTACTACAACCCTTGGTGCAAATGATAAAACTGCTTTTTATGAGCAAAGTTCTTTGATTAACCTTTTAGATTAGCAAATTTTAATACCCATTATTTTTTGTAAACCATGAAGTATGTTTTTCTTTTTTTAAATTCAGGTATAATTGACATAAAATAGCCATGAAGTATTATAGTAACTAGTTGTTTTTAAATATTCAAGTTTTATCACCAGAAATTTATCACAGGTTTATTCTACTTTTAAATTTCTAATTTATGTCTTATAAATTGCTTTTTTTTGATAGATGAAAGTTATTCTTTCAGCAGTGTTCTGTATTATGGAAATGAAGCCACTCTTCTTATTTATGATCTGATGTTCTTCTGTGTTGTGGATTTGGCTTGCCAAAATTTTATTTTAGCATCCTTCCTTACGTACCTACAGCAAGAGGTAAATTTAAGAATTTTTTCTGGGTTTCATTTAAAAGAAGTATGTTAGAAGTAGATATTTATTTTTATAGCAGAGAGTAACAATGTATACTCTCACTAGGAATTTATAAAGATTTAGAATACGATTCTCCCTGCCAGAAAAAGGAAAAACATTTCAGTGAGGTTCATTCTACACTTACCTTCAGGGTCAGTGAAGTACTGAGGTCTTGGGGAAGGCATAAGTTGCTTGAGCAAATGTGAAAGGAACCTAATAGGAAGACATTTAAATTACCCATCTCTCCTACATGCCAGCAGTGAGCAGTAATTAGAGTCCCATTCACCCTGTGCACCAGATGTTACTGTAACAAAAAGGCAAGCTCTGAGATGTAGCTCAAGCCTCAGCCACTTTAACTTGTAACTCTCACACATCCCCTATCTGCTTGTATTAGAAAACAATTGTGTGGATGGGTGTGGAGCCTGAAATGGAGACTTCAAGAAAAACCAAATTTGTTCTAGAAATGTTAGTATTCATAACACCCAAATATTCCCCACTGTGTCAAAGAAGTATATGAGTTAGTAAGATATAATATATTAGTTAGTAAGATATAATATATGAGTTAGTAAGATATAATATATTAGTTTTTGATAGAGATATAGAATTAGAACAGATTTGATAGAGATATAGAATTAGAACAAACGTCAAGTTCCTTTGACGTTTCCATAGCTTTTAGAGCTAGAGGAGACTTGTCTTGCCAAATATTTAAAAGTATATTCCTGTGAACATAAGGGGATTTGTATTATTAATTTATAAAAATATATTCTGAATAGGGACGCACACTGCTTCAGTATTATGAAAGATGATAATAGTCTTGAAATAATTTTGTGTATTGCCATGGAATTCAAATGTCTGATACATGAAAATAAATAATTGAGAGAATTAGCTAGTTTAATGAGATATTTTAATTGATGTGTACAATTAATTTCCTTTATATATATTTTTTTTCCTTCTGAATTGTTTTACCTTTTTTTCAGATTTTTAGATTTATTCGTAATACAGTAGGACAGAAGAATTTGGCATCCAAAACACTGGTGGATCAAAGATTTCTGATTTAATTTATTGAATAGATAAAGACAATTATAATCATGGCAAAAACAAAGTCATGATTATCAGGTTAGTTTGCCATATTTTTTAAAACTTGTAATACAAATTATTCTATTTTTATTTGTTTTTTAATCTACAGAAAGATTTATTTTTATAACTTGTAGATACATAACTTGCTTTGTGAACATGTAGTGTGATACAGTGGAAAATATTATTTTCCTATTACGCATGGTATTTAATTCACCAGCTCATAGACTAGATAGCTCTGACAATGGGACAAAAAAAAATCTAAATATTGCTTTCAGCATAACATTTTTTTAATGATGTTCAAAACAGTCCCCATCATTTGTCTCTGTAGATTATTTTATGAACTAGATTTGCCTATATTTTCTCACACTGAAAAAGAATTTTGATTCCAAGTTCAAGCCTAGTTTTCAATTCAGTATTTTGTTTTACATATTTTATGGTTAAATAAATGTTGAAAATATTTTCAAGTTTACTTAGAAATTTGAAATTGTATATGGGCTGAATCAATTTGCCTCATTTTAATTGTTCACCCTGTTTGGCAGTGGACTGATTCACTATTGGAATAATAGGCACCTCGTGAAATGGTACATAGTCATTCCTTTGTATACCTGTATTATTAGGTCAATATACTCTTTCCATGAAGTATGTTTATATCTCTAAGATCATTTACATTATTGAGCTGTAATATGTGACATTTTCCTCAGTATAGTTTTTTATACATTTATTCATTACTTAACATTTTAAGAGCACTCCCAAAGCTTTGCTCTTCAATTATGTTTAAAGATTGTAAATAACAAACTGTAAGTTATGTTAACAAGGTGATTTATTGAAAGTAAACTTAGGCTTCATAAGTTAGTAGGCTAGTATTTTTTTTTAATAAGGAAAAAAATATGAGGAGCCAAAATATAATTAATGTAAATCCTGAGCCATGTAGCTAATAGTTTTCCATGATATTATTTTTCTTCAATATGCTCTTTAATTATCCTTTTCATTGTGTACCATGAACTTGAAAGTCACCTTATTTCAGGTATAATGGTCATTAACCCCCAAAGCAACATTTCTACGTTAATGTGTAAATACTTAAATGTAATGCTATGTAAATATTGTTTATATTACTGGATTGAAAATATAGAATAAAACATTTGATGTTTCTCTTTCCTGTTTTATTAATATGTATTTTATGAAATAGCATTTAGGAATACAACAGTATTGGGGCGGGTGTCCCCAGCCATTGCTAAAGCTGAATCCTTTACATTCTCTGAATCTTGAGGATGACTGAGAAGAGGGGAGGCTAATAAGTTGAGGATTTGAAACTCTGGTTTCTTAAGGGTCACAGTACAGAAATGCCTTACTAAAAGCCTCAGAGATAAGTAAATGTACCAGCATGGATTTTTAAAGCCACCTACTCAGAAGCTTATGAAAGAAATATGACTCTCATTCTACATAAAAGAAGTTAATATTCGTCTGAATGTATCTAAGTGGAAATTTCAAAAAATATGATCGGTTTGCTCACCTGCTGATAAATTAAGACAGAGAAAAGACATTTAAAAAATCATTTTAAAGTAGTTTTGTACAATATTATTTTTATTTCGGTTAGATACATAAAAGGGTGTACAGGTTTTCATATTACTATTGACTCTTGTGTTCATATTGCCACGATTTAAACTTTGTGATCATGTGCTTAATTTTCTACTAGACCCATAATCTTTTGTCTATTTCTGTAAAACCAACCCACTGTACTTTGTATATTATATCCTTAATTTTACAGATTACATAGAAACATTTGATAAATCTCTTGGTCATTTCATAATGACCCTAGGTTCACACCTAGAGGTTCTTTACAAGCTGCTGTGTGCTTTCTATCCTCCTTATTTATTTATTTATTTTTTAAAATAAATTTATTTACTTATTTATTTATTTTTGGCTGTGTTGGGTCTTCGTTTCTGTGCGAGGGCTTTCTCTAGTTGCGGCAAGTGGGAGCCACTCTTCATCGCGGTGTGCGGGCCTCTCACTATTGCGGCCTCTCTTGTTGCGGAGCACAGGCTCCAGACGCGCAAGCTCAGTAGTTATGGCTCACGGGCCAAGTTGCTCCGCGGCATGTGGGATCTTCCCAGACCAGGTCTCGAACCCGTGTCCCCTGCATTGGCAGGCAGATTCTCAACCACTGCGCCACCAGGGAAGTCCTATACTCCTTAGAAATGCATAGGCCCTTGAAATAATTCTGCAGATCCGTCTCTCTATTATGAGATGTTTATACTTGCTTACTTCTCTCATACTGCTGCCCTAGCAAACTGCCTTTTGAGAAGGCTCTGCTGTTTACCTAGATTGAGAAGCATTCAGAATGACCTTTAACACAGTGCTTGCAAGCATGAAACATGTACCTTTTTGTTGTCAGTAAACATTGACAATAAAAGCTGAGAGGAAATAAATGTAAGTTGAAGAGCAGTGTGGCTTAATGGAAAAATGCTACAAATTTAGTAACAGAAGCCATGGATTTGAATTAGAATTTTGCCCTTTGTCACTTACTAGCTTTGTGACTTTACACCAAGTTGTTTGGCATCTTTGAGCTTCATTCCACATCTTTATAATGGAAATAATATCCTTTGCTTACCACTTGTTGTAAGGATTAATTCATTAAGATAGGCTTATAATAGTAAACTATGAACACTGGAATTTTAAAATATTTTAGTTTGAAATATGTGCCTTCAAATATATATTCTATCTTGCTAATAAATTAATTCTGTGATATTAAAACTGAGATTACTGATTTCAGTAACTAAGCAATGAAAATCCTGGAGCTTACTTCTGCCTCAGTCACCCCAGCCTCAACAAGGAAGAGGCCTTCGTAGATGTCAGACCTTTAGTGAAAGGAGGCAAGAAGGAGCTGTTAGCCCATGTTGTAGGTGTGGTTTGTGGTACAGATTAGAAAAGAGTAGAGTGGTGGAATGTTGTCTCTGGAAGGGAGGGTTTATTTCATTTGCTTATTCATTTATCCATTCATTCAAGCAACATTTCTACCCATTCCCACTCCCAAGCCCCTCAGAAGGGTAAGACAATTAGTAGAGGAAACAGGTATATTAACCAGTAATTAGAGCAATCTGAAAAGTGCTGCAGCCACTAGGGTGTGATGTGGGGAAAGCTTGTAACTGCGCATCTGTGGTCATCAGGGCTTTGACCTGACAGTGGTATTTGATCTAAGATTTAAAGATAAACAAGACAAGTGCAATCAAAGCAAGGAACAATATATGCTCTGAGGTGAAGCACATGACCATTGGCTACTACAGATTGTTTGAATACGGGATATATATGTTGTTTATATTTAAAAAAAAAAATTCTGTATATTATGATGTTTTAACATCTTAAAGTTTTTTTCGGACTGGGGAGAGACTGCCCTGCTAGGACTAGCCAATTCTTAGAGGTAGCAAAGGACCCAGACAGAAGCAGGCCTCTGATATGCAAACTCACCAATCCAGAGCCATACCTGCCCTATCTGGCCCTTACCCCGCCTGGAAGCAATATTCCTCTGCCTTAGTCATCCCAGGACCAGGTACCAGGCAACCAGGAACCACTCCTATAGCTTACAGCCTGCTGTAATTATTCAAAGTAACCAGTCCTAAGTTGTTACCCTGCCCTGCCTTGCCTTTCCTGAAGAAATGCAGAAACTAATAAAGGCCATGGCCTAGGCTCTCCCCTCGCTCCTGTCCCTTTGCCTCCTGACCAACACTGGTGCTTCCCCATGTGGCTCTGCATGGCGTGGGTGCCTCCTGTTTCTGACCTGTGAGTATAATAAACTTTGTTTTCCTGAGCCTCTACTGTGTCTCTTCTTGTGGCCGAACCTGACTGACTATCCCGTAAAGGAACACACGACAGTACATTTGGGGGTTTTGGAGGGAGATGGTTGGAAAGGAAAGCAGAAGCCATATCATTAAAGGCTTTTACATCAAGCCACAGTGTATGCAGAGTTTAACCAAGCTAAGTTTCCCAGCCTACCTACAAATGAATACTCAGTACCCCGAAGAGTAAGTGAATGGACAGAGGGGCAAGAGGGGACCTTCCACAGTCAGATAGCTCTGGTATAATTGATGGTTCATGGGCTAAGAGACTGCCTGGCTGCATGTCATGGTTCACAAGAAAATACATTGCCTATAAGAGAGGCAGTAAGGCAGTAAAGGATAGTGGCTGAGAACACAAACTCTGGAGCCGCACTGCCTGTATTCAAGTCCTGGCTCCACCACGTAGTAGCTGGGTGATTTGGGGTATCTTGCTCATCTGTAAAAGGGGATAATAGTACCTATTTCATAGAGTTATTTGGGAAGGTTAAATGAGTTAACGTGTGTACGGTGCTTAGAAGAGTGCCTGGCACATAGTAAATGCTATGTAGATGTTAGCTATGTAATAGTAGTAGTAGTAGTAGTGGTAGTAAGTCCCATGAATATTTAATTATGAAAGAAAGACCCAGATTAGTCCCCTGGGAGCCTGTATTAAGACACTGTCACATTGCCGGGAGTGCTAGAACAGTAGACAAACTGCCCAATCAAAGCAATCTGTAGGATTTAAAAAGTAACTTTCCTTCTATTATAGTTATTATTACAAAAGAAATACATGGCTGTGGCCCAAGGATAAACAAATGACCAGTGGGAGGGAGACTAGAAACAGAGCCACAGGTATACAGTCACTTGATTTATGACAAGGGTGACATGCAGTGCAGTGAGGAAAGGGTGGTTTCTCAATGTTCGATTGAATATCACAAGGGAAAAAAATGAATCTTTACCCCAATGTTACACACAAAAATCAATTTCAGGCAGATGGTAGATCTAAATGTGAGAGTTTAAATGATAAAGCTTCTAGAAGATAACATTGGAAAATATGTTCATAACATTGGTGGAGGCCAAGATGTCTTAAGACCCAGAAAAGACCGACCATTGGTAAGTTGGACTTCACTATTTACATTAAATTTACAATTATGCATATTTACAGTAAATGTAAAATTTCAATTTACGTTGAAATTAGGAACTCTGTTCATCAAAAAATAGCATTATAAGAATGAAAAGACAAGCTTCAATACGAGGAAAAAAATTTATAAACATATATCTGACAAAGCATTCCATCCAGAATAAAGAACTCATCCAATCAATAAGGAAAAGACAGACAATCCAATGGAAAAATGGGCAAAAAACTGAAGTATGCATCTCCCAAAACCGGGTTCGCAAATGACCAACCAGCACATGTGAAAAGTGCTCAGCCTTAGTCATCGTGAGAATGCAAAATAAAATCAAGAGATACCACCGACTACCAAACCATCAAAATGGCTAATAAACTTAAAATACCAGCTGTTGGTTAAGGAAGTGGAACAAATGACTGATACTATGTTAAATAAAGTGAGAGGATTTGTTTTATTAGACTGGACTATTTCCAGATGTTAAGACTCCACGTCTCTGCCCTGTTTGACTGAAGCAACGGTGACAGCGGATG